GGGGGGGGGAATGACTACGGACTTTGCTGGTACCAGGTGATGAATCTAGAGAGGAAATGGTCTACATACTTGCCGCGGAACTGTGAGAGACGCGAGAATTATTGTCACCGGCCTGGACTGGTGGGTGTGTGTGTGTGTGTGTGTGTGTGTGTGTGTGTGTGTGTGCATTTCCTTGTCTTGTGTTCAAAAGCAACTTCCTACCATGCGTTGGAAGTATGTGGATGAATTGATTCCCAGCAGACATGTATGTACATGTCCTCAAATTTCTTGCCTTTGATTGAGTATATATATGCTCGCTCGCTCGCCATCCCTCCTCCATGTCCCTGCTGATCTGATCTTCTTTCCTCCGATCGATCGATCGATCGATCGTCATTCTTTACTTTTTCCGGAGGAATAATTGTAGCGTGTAGCACAGACCAATCCTCCTCGATTCAATGGGGTTTCGACTTGCCGCTGGAAAAAAAAACGATTCAGTCGTATGGTAAAAGGCCCCACAAAATCCCACGAGGCTGTGGCGTTTCAGGAGACACATTACACACACACACACTACATGCACTACTCCTTTTCTCAACTCTCTCGCACACGCATACACATGCACAAACTATGTTTTGGGCCCTGGTCTCTGGGCCCCTAGAGTCCCCGCCGAGAGGGTGAAAGCTATGCATACTTGTCCACATATTCATGCTTCATGCGAATCGAACCGCCTACGAGTACGAGAATTCTAGGGGAAGAGGATCAGGGTGGGAGCTGGAGCAGAGCGGCGGGGTGAGAGAAGGGGGGAAGGCCGAGCGGGTATAATGGAGGAGAGGAGAGGAGAGGAATACGAACATGGATGGGAGCCTTGCGGGGGATGAATAACGACGGCTTCCTCTTTTGGATCGAATGTACAAGTATTATGTGCCGACATATCAACAGGCAATTGATGGGCCAAAAGACACTTCATCGTGACCGGTACACGTTACACAGCTTGTAGAGACATATCTTGTAAGTAAGATTTACGGAAAGTAAATTGGAGAGTATATTGCCCCCCCCCCCCTTCTCGGCTCTAACGCGGTCGAAACACCCGAGGGTATTAACTTCTTCTTTTACTCAGGTACAAGTTGTACAAAAAAACTCCCAACCGTGTTGTAGGAATATGTGTGCCTTGACAGAGCATCGTAAGGGTATCACGAATCACAACATAAATCCCGAGTCTTCAGATACCGGATCTCAGATATAGGATTGAATTTCGATCTGGATTACAAAGACCACGAAACCAGACTAGACTAACCAAATAAGAAACCAAAGTCCAGAAACAAAGTCCAAGACACAAAGCAGGATGCCCTACCAATACGACCCGGAATACCACCAGGCCATCGAGCCCATGCTGCCCGCCATGGCCGCGGCGCCAAAACACCCACCTTACGAAGTCGCCCCGCGCCGCGCCGGCATCGACGGCATGTGGGCGGGCCTGATGAAGAACTGGCCCGAAGTCGACGACGTCGAGGAGACGGTCTTCAAGGTCGCGTCGTTTGACGGCGTCGAGATCAACGTCCACCGCTTTGCGAAAAAGGGTTCCGCTGCGACACCGTCGGCGGCAGTCGTGTACACCCACGGCGGAGGGTATTTCTGCCTCAGCGTCCCGCTTTACCGCAAGATGATCCAGAGCTACGTGACGCAGGGCGGCATCCCGTTCTTCGCGGTCGAGTACAGATCGCCCCCCGAGTATCCCTTCCCGACGCCCATCGAGGACTGCTACGCGGCGCTCAAGTGGGTTCACTCGCCCACAGGCGCTGCGGAACTGGGCGTCGACCCGGCCCGGATCGCCATCATGGGCGACTCTGCGGGTGGGGGACTCGCGGCGGGGGTGGCCATCATGGCGCGGGACAGGAAGCTCGACCCGCCGCTGGCCCGGCAGGTGCTCGTCAACGCCATGCTCGACGATCGCAACAAGGGCCGCTACGAGGCCGCCATGAGCCTCCACACCTGGACCCCCGACGACAACCTCACGGGCTGGGCGGCGTACATCGGTCGCGAAAAGGCCGGCAACCCAACCGCCGACGTCTCGCCCTGGGCCGCCCCCGCGCGGGTCTCCTCCGTGGCGGACCTCCCGCCCGTGTACATCGACGTGCCGGACCTTGACATCTTCAGGGACGAGAACATCAAGTACGCGGCACGACACGCCGAGGCGGGTATTCCGCTCGAGATGCACGTCTATCCCGGCCTGCCTCATAGCTTCGAGTCATTCGCGCCCAAGATATCGACGGCCAAGACGGCGGTAGCGAACAGGGTCAAATTCATCTCCAAGCTGTAAAAGAACCATCTCCTCTCTAAAAAATGCAGGAAGAGGCGGAGCCACAACGCCAGAGAAGCGTAGAACACAGGCTATACCACAATGGCAATCGAGCTTCGCCTCCTCTTTCTCTCCGAACCAAGCAAAGGGGTCTCGTCGTCGTCAGCATCCTCCACTTCCTCCACCACTCCATCGTAAACCCCGTATTTGACGTCCTCGTGACCAAAGACGCGACTCATTTCTTTCCCCAACGGAACTCCTCTCGTCTCCGGCACGCAAAAGTAGTAGAATGCCATTCCTAGGACGTTGCAGAGGCCGTAGAAGACGAAGGTCATTGGGCCAATGGAGGCGAGGAGGAGAGGCGTGACGGCCGCCACAACGACCTGAAACAACCACTGCGTGCATGTCGTGACTGCGCAGCACTGCGCGTTGATGTACGAAGGGAAGATCTCGCTGCACACGTTCCAGGGAATAGGCCCGCTCGACACCCCGAATGCGACTGCGTACACGTATACACTCAGAATGCAAAACGTGGCGCGAACGACAGACGGGATGCTACCGCCATCCGATGGATCAGACATGGTTGCTGTACAGTACCCCAGCACAAACATCGATACGGCGCAGACGCCGGTTCCCCACAGGAGCCAGAAGCGGTTGCCGTAGATGCGCACACAGAGGAACATGAAGAGAAGGGCGGCAACGAGTTTGACAAACCCGAATATCCCAGTCAGAAACAGAGACGCCGACACACTCTTGAATCCTGCTTTTAGAAATATGACTGCCACGTAATAGTTTAGCGCGACCATGCCTGACATGTTCTGTACGACGAACAGACCAACTCCGACGACCAAGCGCTTGCGAATTGGGGCACTGAGCGCTTCGCGGAGAAAGTGTGTTTTATGGATCGCTTGTCGACGTAGTCCAGAGAGCACGGTGAGGGAGATTTCGAAGGCTTCTCGCTTCATAGCCACGTCTGTCGGGGGCAATCCTCGAAACCAGCACAATGAATCCTCCACCAACTCGAGATTATTCAGGGTAGCCAGGTATTGCGGTGTTTCTTTGATATAAAATGTTCCCAGAAGGAGAATGATACCTGGAAAAAGTTGAATGGCAACCGGTATCTGCCATTGTAGATCCGAAGTGTCTGTAATCGCAGCGTTCGCAGCATATGCTCCCCAGAAGCCGATCACAGCGCTGCCTTGGATCACGACTTGGAAGCTGGACATCAGTATGCCTCTGTTGGACGGTGTCGCGATCTCCGAAATACTGCAATCATGGTCAGCGGGGGATGTTGGACAATGGATGCAAAGTAGACATACTAAATGGGCGAAACCAGCGTGCCAGCGCCAACCCCGTAGCCGTTTAGAAATCTCCCAACCTCAAACAGCCACAGGGCTGATCCAGCGTTGATCACCTGCAATGCAGTCCCAAGGACATACAGAGCAGCACTGAAGATGAAACATGCCTTCCGGCCATAACGAGAGCAAATAGGGATGCCGGTTGGTACGCCGAAGAAGGCACCAACAATCCACGACGAGACAACAAGTGATTGAGCACGTGCGAGTTCGGCCGCTGGAAGGACATCAAGGTGGAAATGGCCAAGGAACGAAGGCAATACCAGCAGTCCTCCCACGAAGCCGACCGAGTAGCCAAACAGTGAACCGGTAGAGGCTGCAACGGCGGCCGCAATGTAGAGGTTGACGCTGGACATTTCCAGCAGCTGCAATAGTATGGAACGAGAGGTTTCTGTCGAAATGACCAGACATTTCACCAGAACCGGATGACAAGGATTTTATTTCAATCTCGATTCACATTTGCTTCGGGATCAAAGCCAACTTACCTGTACAGCACATCCGATCCATCGGGTCTTGGGAGGGGGAAGCGGAGGAATACAGTTCAACCAACACATATTCGGTGAGCTGTGGACAAGTTGTGACACACCCTCATCCATCTCGTCTGCAGATCGCGTGGGGAACAACGGGGGAAATCGTGGTAGAAAGGGTGAAAGGGTCGTTGTTGATGTAACGGATGCAGATGCCGGTGGCGGAGAAATGATTGTCCGGAAGAGGGAGTTGCTGGCGAATCTCGGCTACCATCCCGAACATGGTTCCGATCGCAATGATACTGAAGATGCTGATATAATAGTTATTTTGTAATGGACCTCTGCGAGTGACCGTTGGTGCCACTCTAGATAATATGACTTCTCACTCTGGTTTCAGGTAACGACGCCGATACGAAGCAGGGAGAAAGTCACGTGGATATAGACTGACAAGGCAAGTACGTTCAGCCAATCATGTTTTGCCCTAGTGAATGCACAAGGCTGTGCAAGGCTGTACAAGCACAGGGGGCTTTACGCAACCGGGAGCTGCTAAGCGTCAATTATGATGCTCAGAGAAAACTCACAAGAGGCTGTCCAGATACAGGTCAGTTTCTATGTACACGTACTAGCTAATAGCAGTCACTACTGGTCGATCAACATGTTGCAGTTAACCGGTGCCAGAGACTGACATTTGTGTCAACGCTACACGAGTAACTCTCTCTACCCCATCTTGTAGGAGAGATGCATATCTCCGCACCATCTTCGTCTTCTGAGTCCATGCTCATTATATGGCTATAGTTCGGCCTTTTTGTCCTACACCACAAGATAGGAAGACTATGTTACATGTGCTTGATTAGCGTGCTCTTCACCGTGCTCCTGCATAAAGGGGTAAGATGCCCTCCCTGAGCGTGTTCTCATGAACACCATTAGGTAAGTCGGGAGCCCTCCGATGATTGAGCCTGCTTGATTGAGAACAGTCCAGGTATTTCCCCATTCTTAGCATCTTTGTAGAAGACTGGGCTGCTTTAAGAAGAATTCCATGAGCATAGGAGAAGGGTGCAGATTGAGACCAGAGAGGTCTCTCAGCAGGTGCATGCGCTTGACTGGACTTTGTTTGTCGTCATGAGCTGCGTTTAATGCGCCCTGTGGTCCCCGAGAACCATAGGTCAACGAGACGTGATCCATTGACGTCAGGGTGGAAGGATCTGACCATGTCCCACCTCCTGCGCCGCGAGAGCTCCCAAACATCTTTAGCTCTCCGGTAGCTGCCACTTTAGATGTTTCGGGGGAGGCGTGGCATCTTCGACAAGGACGATAGGTGGTTTGGGTTGTCTGCTACCCGCCGACGAACCAAGAAGCACGTTATCAATGGACTCGTCCATGATCTCTTGGTTAGGCTCTGAGTTACTGGGGTTTTCCGCCCCTGTAAGCACCGGCGGGCTCGTACTAGGTCGCTCAATCAAGCTGGGATCGAATTGGGGATCTCCGAGCCTGCCATTGTCCTCTTTGTCGTCGCCATCAGATGAAGGGTCGCCGAAGCTAACAGGCGTTGGTGGTGAGTACAAATCAGTCGGACTCAAGCTATTGTCAGCCGAGTCCTCCGAAGGGAAACGCCGGTGGCCCTTCAAAATACCCAGACGCCGTTGCACCGCACTCGCGGAGTTGGATCTCGAGACGGGGGAGTTCTGTGAGGGTGTGTCAGGGCTGGTGACATTCACAAATCGTGAACTCGGAGATCTGGACAAGACACTCTGTACTAGTGGTAGCTCAAGGTAGCTGTTCACATTGCCCTTGGAGAACAGCACCAATCCAAGACAGATCAAGATTAGAAGCAATTGCAGAAAGGACATTCGCTTCTGAAAGATGACCTCGTCCGCAAGCACACCGAGCCGCGCATTGATGGCAATGTTTTCCTGCTGGTAGCGTTCGCGCTGCATCTCAAGCTCTATAACCGTGGACTGCCACAATTGGTCGTATTGCTGGCGGAATTCTCGGAGTTCATTGAGGACCGTAGTATTTAGATGTTCGAGGAAAGAGGTTGTTTTGGCCAGTTGTCTCTGTTCCACTTTGTGGAATGCATCTCGAAGCGCGCGAGACTGATCTTCTATATACTGAAGGGACAAGGAGGAATTCGATTCAAGTGTTTGCAGGCGCTTCTGAACTGACTTGAAAAATGATTCTTGCATCGTTGGAGCTGGGTGGGACGACTGCGTGACGGACGCGGGTGTTTTCGAACTGTTGGTGCCGGGTGGTGACGATGAAGCATTGGTCGCTGTCGAGTCGACAATAAGATCAGATTTGGAGGTTGAGATTGACCCATCCACCGCTGCCATTGTGACGTGGCTTGACCCCAAGGAACTGGGGGTTAGAACATCTGTAGTAAGTTTTATAGCTTCTGTGTCAGACGATTGAGTAATATCCTGGCCGTCAAGAGCATCGGGGGTCGTTCTAGCACAGCCCTTCGTAGTCTCACACGTACTGGATGTATCGTTTTGGTCACTTAAGCCATTGATCTTTTGAGACGAAAGCGCCGGAGAGGTGGAAACTGCGTCTTGGGTATCTTCGACGTCTGGGGTTTGGGTCTGATCGAGGCGATGATCCTGCACCAGGGATGAATCAGATGCGGCAGTGCGGACAGACTCATCGAGAGTGTCACTGTCGGTCAAAAGCTGTTCAGCCACCGCTTCTGGTACAAGTCTATCCTCGTCTGCACTGTCGGCACCTTCCTGCTCCACTTTGCCTTCATCCTCCATTTGGATTGATTCGAGATCGTGTTTGTACTCCTCCAGCATTGTTGTCCCATGAACTCTGACGAGACTGATCGGGCAGTAAAACTCATTCCCATAATGAGTAAGGAACTCGATGCGTAGATACCGTGCCCATATGACAGGATTCTCAACCAGAAACGCCTGCACCTCACGGGTGTTTCGAGCTTCAAAAGTACCTAGAGTCTTCCACTTGTCGGTTTTGATTGGGTATTTGTCGGACACGCTTACTCGAAAAGTATGGAAGGTCGAGCTGAAGAATTCGAAGTTGGCCAGCACAATAGTGTCGATCGATATATCGTCGCACAGTTCCAGGATCAAGAATTTGTTCTGGGCAGAGCACTCGTTTAGCATATAAGAATCCTTGTTATTTCCCAGTACCGCTGAAGCGCTTTTGGCTTCTGGATTGGTCTTCAGAACGTTGGCTGCACAATCAAATGAGGCATAGTTGAATCGTTCTTTGCAGGTTGTGCCAGCATCTTTACTCCTCGCGCCGGCTCTCGGAGCGTGTCCCAGTTCGATCTTGGCAGAACTGTCGCGAACTTCCTGCTGCACTCTGGGTTGATCCTGATTTGGAGGTTCAAGGGTGTCAGAGACAAAGCCAGAGAAGTCCAAATCTATTTCGGCGTCGTCCCCCAACGAATCTAGAGAATCTCGAAGAGACGCGGTTCTCTTCCTCGGCTCTCGACCTTCAATTCCAGGCCCTTTCCCAATATGTTCAGATTGACCCGACTTTTTCAGATTTTCTCGTTTCCAGTCCTCAAAAGAGAGAAACTTTCCGTCTTCGAGGGGGGACTCGTCCTCCGACTGATCGGGATCTGTCCCGGAAGAAGCACCATACCTTTCTGTCTGGGGAGGACCCAAAGCTGACTGGTCCTGCGATGTGTGCACGGGGTGAACCGAAGAATCTATCGAGGATGACGACTGGACAGTGGACGGAACCGAGAGGGAGGAATCTTCTGCGTAATAGTCATGGGGAGAAGATGTAGCAACTGCGGGCACCCCGCTGGGAGAGGTGGCGGTTTCGACCGTCGTGGAGGTGATGTTGGCCTTTCGAGTCGACGCAAGACATTGCTGAGGGAGACTGTGAGTAATGTAGTTTACTGTACGAAAAGGACAAGTGGAAGACGTCAAGGTCGTGAATGGAATCGAAGTACTCGCAACGAGGGTGACGAAAAGGAGTAAACCTGGCTTCGGAAGTCGCATTTTCAGCGCAGTCCATTGGCGATCTCTAACTGAGATGCCGACCTCGAGGGAATCATCTGTGACAGCCCATTATATTTCCATTTCTTCACCTGCCACGAGCACACCGCTTCGACAACTGTCCTGGTGAGGAAGTGGATGTTGGCTTGTGTTTGGCCTCAGACGAAATGCGCCAAGTGGATGGCGGGACTCTTTTGGTTCAGGTGTGATGCCGCTTTATGTAACATCGGGGTCAGGCAGCATTCGTTCAAAGCGGCATGTAACCGTTCTATTAATGGTCTATCTCAACAACTGTCTTTGGGTAGCTACACACTGCATTCGTGCGTGGTAGCCTGGAGGGGGGCACAGAGGATGGTTAGAAGGAGTGAAACGCTCGACGCTGCAGGAGCTTAAAGGGAAAGATAGAAGCGTGTTTGCTTGCAAGCTGATCGAACAGACTCCTTTGAAAAGAACGAGCTTGCTTAGATGGAATCCCATCTGCTTGCTACAACTTTGGTTGAAATGGACGCGCAGATGGAGGGAAGATGCCAGATTATTGTATCAGCATCGTGAGTCTACCTGGCTGCAGCTTTCCCTGCATGATGAAGCCATGAATGTATCGAGGAAGGAGCCGGCCAGTGACTGGGAAGGCGCAACCAAACAGAGAAACAGAGACGAGGAAGGCGCTCAACCATCTCTCACTTCACTTGACCACCACGGCTCTGCCGAATTCAATCATCTCTTCAAATCTTTCTCCCTCCCCCACTCTCCAGGTTTCACAAAGACTGAAGTTGTTACTCTTGTCGCTCTTAATTTCCTGTTAAGAGGTCCTTGAAGATGGCAGATCTGCGCTTGAGAGCCAGGATGGCCGTTACCTTGCTCCGCAGCAATCCTTCGGCGTGGTTTCGTGATGCACCGATCGAGCCGAGAGACCTTGAGCTCATCTCTGCCGATCGCGTGGATTTCGTTGTCTACAATCAGGGGAGTTACCTGCGTAAGATCGTGAGTGTCTTTGCGGAAATTCACCCAGCCCTTCGTGTGACGCCAACTGACTTTAGATTTCTAGTACCATATGAAAGCGGGTGAAGGATTCGAGAGTGTACGTCGTTGAACCCACGGGTTTCAAAGCTCACATCACAATCCTCATGCCATGAATCTGCCATTTCTATGCGTTCTACGCACGCTGACTGGCTCACCTTTACCAGACTATTTGGAAGGTCGAGGCCGACGAGGAGTGTAAAGAGTTGGTTCGTTCGGCTGGGGCAAAGCTATATGGGTACGATGAGGGACCTAGCATATCTCCACACTGGGCTATTGTCACCGGTAAGCCATCAAAACCCTCGCATGTCCCATTGATGTGATACTGAGACCTCCATGAGTCAACGTCAATATTATGACTCCTCCCAGTTTCCCCTTCCATTGGGGTTTTCTTTCCACACAGCCCGAGAATATCCGCATCTTCAAGAGGCCTGCGGGGTTTTGTGACTTACACGGTTGCGACGCTATGATACTGCGTAGCTGTATCGCCAACACAGATGGGCTCATAGACACGCCGAGCGTTGCCGACCGTGTATGGGATATTCTGTGTCTAAAGATGGGCGATGATTATGACTGTTTGTATATCTCAACGTTTTCAAGCCGATTGTCACTGACCTATTTTGTCAAGATCCGTGGATGGTTGTCGCGGTGAAGGACGCTGGACCCCTCCCCGAGGATGAATTCGATACCTGTGGCTGCCAGGACCCGTCGGCATGTGGTTGCAGCTTTGAGTGACCAGGCGAAGATTACCTAGCTCAACCAGCCATGCCTGCATAATGGCGAATGAATCGTGAGCATGGACCTACATGTGTGAGGTCGCAGGAGAGGCCCCATCAAAGAGTGCGCTGAGCCTGGCGGCCGATCCAGCTAAGAGCCAGTACCTAGGTGACTGCCGGGGATCCCTGAGGCTTGGGTGGTGTACAAGACGCTGTATGAGAATGAAGAGTGTGTGTGTCAGATTGCAATCAGGTCTCATGCAAGGTACCCCAATTGTGGTCCAAAGGGCAGTAAGGACTCTATTGATCTTCGGATTCGATGTGGAATGTGTCATTCTATTTTCAATGCGAGCGTTGCTCCGCTTTTACAGACAGCTGATTTTTTTTTTTTTTAAAAAAAAAATTAGTAGATGGGCCTCGTTAACAAGGTCAAAGGATTACAAGACAGACAAGGCTATTACTATTGATCTTAATGTGTAACAGGCAAGTCAATGGCGCCAAGCAATGACAACATCGTTGGAGATCGACAAGAAATAATATCGGGAACGTGCGCAGACGTATTCAAGTACGCATTGAGAGATCCGCCATTACCCAACGAGACCTTTTTATAAAATGGGCCAAATTGAGAGGTATCAACAGCGTCAAAGGTGACAGGCTGTGACCAGCTTTTGACTCTGAACGGACATGTTTGCCAGGAGCTGTGGATTGCAAGGCCTCCGCAGCTGCAGTCGGACGACCAGAGCTTGCATTCAGCGCAGCCCGCCAACGAAGTTCGTCTCCAGACGCTTTTCCTCGTCCTCGTCGTCGGCTTTCAGCAATGTCCCTGCTCCGACAACACACCCTCTCGCCGGAGTGGCCACCCAGCTTGATCATGTCGCCCCTCGATTCGAGATAGACCCCGACAAAATCCAGATCCTCGACTCTCCCACCGCTTTCTATGATACCCTGAAGGTAGACACAAAACGCACCTGGGGAGGGGAAGCGGCCGGCTAAGGTGTGCTACAGGTCAAGATTAGAGGAGCGAAACGGCGGATATACCTGTCTACATTGTACATTGGCAAAACCGAGCACGAGCTCATCGAGACCCTCAGGGAAGCGCTCGAGAATAATCCGAACCTCGAGGTTTCGATCCTCACTGATGCACTTCGAGGAACTCGGGAGGATCCTAATCCATCATGCGGCACCCTCCTGGCACCGTTGGCCGTCCAATTCCCCGACCGCGTTCACATCTCCATGTTCCATACCCCAAATCTGAATGGATGGAAGAAGAAGTACATGCCCAAGCGGATAAACGAGGGATGGGGCTTGCAACATATGAAACTCTATGGCTTTGACGATGAAATAATGCTCTCAGGGTATGGTCAATGCTCACTATAGTTCTTGTCAAGGTTCTGACCCAACTACTTAGTGCCAATTTATCCAATGACTACTTTACCAACCGTCTTGACCGGTACCACCTTTTCTCTTCCAAAGAGCTCACCGATTTTTATGGCGCTATTCACGAGGCTGTCTGCGATCTGTCCTACCACCTGGTTCCGTCCGAGGAGCGTCCCGGCGGCTTCGAACTGTTGAGTCCTCATGAACGAGGGTACCCCGACCCTTTATGGCATACCAAAAGATTCAAGGCATATGCCAAAGAAATCCTCGAACCATTGATACACAAAAAAGCCAGACAAAAGATGTTCCCTGTCGAGTTCACGCAGCAAAAGACCTTCGTCTATCCGCTGGCCCAGTTCGACATCCTCCTTGGAGCGCCCAAGAACATTGGCCTCCTCGATTATGAGTTTGCACAATATACCTCCACGGAGAAGCCTGCAATAACTAAGCTGCTCACGAACCTTGCGGAGGATGAGCGATTACACAAGTCAACCTGGACATTCACGGCGGGATATTTTAATATCGACCCAGACATCTGCAAGCTCCTCATCGCAGCCGCTCCGGACGGCCCGTCCGCAGTACAACCAGGCCTCAAAGCTTTCGAAAAGGCATGCACGGTGATAACTGCCTCACCGTGGGCCAACGGCTTCTACGGCAGCCCTGGAGTAAGCGGTATGCTACCGGCGGCGTACACTTTGCTTTCTCGACGCTTCCTGCGCATCGTGTCCAATGCTGGTAAAGGAGATGTTATTCAACTGAAGGAGTGGAGAAGGGGCACAGTCGGTGAACCTGGAGGAATGACCTACCATGCAAAAGGCCTTTGGGTCACTCTCCCGCCTCATTTGGACGCTGAAGGTCAGGTTGCCGAAGAGCCTGGACCGAGCATTACAGTGGTGGGGAGCAGCAACTACACGAAAAGAAGTTACAGCCTTGACCTGGAAATCGGGGCGATGATCATGACCGGCGATGAAGGCCTCAAGCGCAGACTGAAAGAAGAGACGAAAAACCTCCAGAGAGATGCGACGGTCGTAACGCAGGATGATCTCGCAAAGATTGACAGAAGGGTAGGCTTGAAGGTGCGGCTGGCCCTTTGGCTAGTTGAGGCCTTGGGAGGAGCTCTGTGAGCGGTACCGCTGCTGAGGAGAGCTGGCTGAAACCAGGAAACAAGCGCAGAGTTGTCATCGCCTGCGAACAGCTACCCAGTGCCGCTAAAAGGCCCAAGAAATGCCTGACATCCCAGACAAACAGGGACCAACCGTCCTCAGCGATGCCAACCACGCCGGCCACACGGGACCGGTACCTGTCAAAGCCTCAGGTTGGTAGGACGACAAGCCGACGAGCACCACAACTCTCTTCTTCTCGCCTCGACACTTTTCCCTGGCGAAGCTGAGGATACTTAGCTCTTCGCCTCGCCCTGTGGGCACGGGAGGCCTTTCGCAAGACGGGGCCGGGTTAACTGCCCCTTGTATAATATTCTCGTTCCTTTCTGCATAGAAAAAGGCAGACATACCATGGGAAGAAGCATTCTGGATAGAAGGGAGTCCAGGGCTGATTGATTGATTGATAGATAGATAGAGTTGGCTAAGAGACCTCGCGCGGCAGGTAGGAGGTCTTTGTACACAGTATATATGTACCTATGTATCTAGTAGAGCACATGTGCAATTGTACCATACCGATATTACACATACCATGTACCGTATACCATATATCCCATTTTATATATCATACCATAATATGAACGAACATCCATGAGGACCAACATGATTACCATATAGGTAGCGACGGGGAGACCCTCCCTTGGGTACCCCTTGGGTACCTAGACAGAACTTTGACTGCACCGCAATGAAGGCCGGCGTGTAAGACCGACTGCCCTCGATCATGGGCTTCGTGACCGGGTATGGTAGTGGGCTCAAACAGACTGATTCGGAGTTGGCCCCTTTCGCAAACCAAGGATGATAAGGACACAAAAGCCGAAATTCCTGGGACACGGACCTACCCATCGTTAGGTGGTCAAATCACTGGTTCAATTGTCGATCCGTGTATACAAACTCCTCCCTGGTCCTCCTAGGCATTTGAATTAAAGATAGGATCGAAGCGGCGCAACATTCGAGCCACATACTATCGCATCCGTGGGTCGAAATGAGATCCGAGGGAAGGAATGTATGTCGCCGCAAATAGTGCAGTTCACCGACTTGAGACTCCATTGCGCGAGGATATAACACTTTGTCACTCGTAGGATTGGGAACGGAGTATCGGAAATATCATGATGGACCAGACAGGTAAAAGATCAACACCACGTCCTCGCGTTGCGACATGTGCAGACAATGTGAGAAGGAATTTTTTTAGTTCTTTTTTCTGCCATTGAAAAATTTTGCAATGTGTGATTGCGGTCACTGTCCTCGTCTAATTAGCGTAGCCACTCATAGGCAATCGAGATCTGCATCTTCCAGCCACCTTCATATCGTTCATGCACACTGCAACACCAGCGCCAACTTTTCCGAGTTTTGGCAATGAGAAAGGGATAACCAGCGCGTGTTCAAGGTGGGAAAAATTCCAACATGGCGGTGTATATACCGCCATCTTCGACAGGAATGCGCTAGATCCCGGGTGGTGTATGGGAACAGCCGCCCGGTGGGTTCGCTTAAAGCCTCACCAGACTAAAGCTCCCACCATCTGGACTAAGGGTTGTTGAAGATCTCGAAACCTACCGGAGAATGATCTGAATGGGAGTGTTCCTTGGGTTGGGCCGTCTGCACCGTGGCGACTGTCAATGCAATGCGGTGGCATGCATGCGAAAGGAAAACCGAAGGCGTGGAACCACACAAGACAAGAAATTGTTGTGGTAGTCCAAAAATATTGAAAAAATGCCATAGGCTTGCCTTGCCTGGTCATGGTGGCCAACGTGGTTTGATTGTATGGAACAACCATAATATAGAGCCATATTTTGGTGTTGAAAGAGGATTCAATTTCGGATAAGAAGTACTCCTAGGGAGAAGATTCAGAGGCCAAACCCCGTGGCAATCTCGACGCATCTGGCAGTCGACAGTCGGAGAATTCGAGACGCTGCTCGTCCCAACACAACGGGGGGCAACCTCATCGAAAACGTGTCAATCATTACTTTGGACGAAGTCTTGTGTAGCCCAATTCTTCTTGAGGTGCCACGGTAGACACAATGGCTGTTAGAGCAGACGCTGTCCGCGGTGGAGCTGCCTGTCAATGCGCACCTCATAGCCAGAGATTTCAGGTCCAGATCGACGCCCGTGTGGAGTGACGCTGTCGAGCGGGGTATCGGTCTCCAGAATTGCAAAGTATTGCTCGGCCCGACGCTGGGCAATGTTGGTAGAGCATTCAATAGTCTGACAGACCAATAATCGAGGGTTTCATAGCATCGGCGGTTAGCCTCAGCGACGAATACCTAGTGCAGGGCGACGACAAAAACATCCCGGTAGGTAGTATTGGCAACAGCCATGGCAATATTGCAGACAATGTCGATGACTGGATGTTCGTGTTCCGTTGCCAGTGGGTGGCGAGAGCTTTTCTCCGCTGGCGCCAATGAGGTCTGGCCTCTTGTCCGAGGGCGCCAGCATCCAAACAGGGTCTGGAGCCCTTCATCGGCAAGTCGCACAGCCCAAAATCGAAGCGGAGGATGGATGGAGAAAGCCTCCTGCCGAGCTTATGCAGGCTTCTGCACCTCAAGAGCCCGCTGGCTGCATTAGACTGCTCCCAAGAAAAGGCCTGTAACAGCTCCAGAGAGCCACTGAAAGAGCCCATTGAAGGGGATTGAAATTGCACTGCCTTTTCACCGACTTTTGGGCAAAATGGCCGACATCGAATAGCAGTGTGGTCTGTCTTTTGTCCGTCACCGATCCAAGATATCGCAGATTGCTTGTCTGTGTAATTTACAGCACGTCGTTCCATCGACGCTGCTTTTGACGCTGAAGACTCTCTGGTTCGTCGAGAATTGGGTCTTTGACCTTGTGGATGCCCTGGGATACCAGAACGATCCCTGGCCGAAACATCAGCAACGCGAAACCCTCGGTGGCACTTGTTTCAATGACCTTGGGATTATCCGAGATGATCCTCCCAGGTCTCAAAACCCAGCATCTGCCAATAATTGCTTATCATTTCACGTGGTCATCCCCCTTGGTGTCCCTGGAACTCCATTGGATCTAGGTTTTCGTAAGCTAATGTCGCCTGGAGCAAGACTGCCGATCAGATAAACACGCCATTGCCGTTGCCAGGTTTTTGACAGCTCGTACTTGGATTCCGGGTTCGGATATGCTGGGATTGAGCGCTCAGAACTTGAATGCTTGGAAACCCTTGGAAACTGATCGAAGCACACGAGAACAACCTTTCTTCCTTGGGGCCGACTGGATGAGCCTTTGCGATGCGAATGGTTGCAATCACATGACCTCAGCTCGTCGAGTTGTGGCTGCGAGGAATGGTACGGAATACGAGGAACCTCCTATAGCCCCGCCTTCCTTTGTCCTTGAAGAATGATCAGACATGACGGAGAATGGCTACGTGTACAGTGGTGACAAGCTGCAGAATGGCATCTTGGTTGTCCCCAGAAGCTTGTGGAATCAGAATTCGAGCTCATGGGCGACGATGAACCCATCCCAAAGCCCAGGACTCTCAAGTTTTTGCGGGGTAAGATTGTACGACGCGTTTGAATGACCTGTTGCACTCGTAAGGTTGACTCAGCCAGGAGAGCATGGTGGTGATTGAGCAACAATCAATCATCAGGGCCACATGAGAGATTTTCATCCCCTTCCCCCTATATGTCCAGGGCTAGTGATCAGCTGTCCTTGAACTTGTCATCTCTTGATATCAATACTGGTACGAAGGAGGGACTCTTGAACTCCCGAGGGCCGATTAGGACGAGTTGCGTGAGGTAGCTGTTGAATGGCCCTATCACAAAGGAGATAGCCACGGGACTCGGTAGACGTGTTGAACAAGCATGTACCCGGATATGGCATCCAGAACGGGTGTGACCAGCATCGAGTTATGAAGGCAAAATGCATTCTTAATGACAAAGGGGATGGGAAGCCTTCGGGAGTTCGTGCTCCCCTCTACAAGCGAGATTCGTAATTAGGGCATTCAGTAATTGTTCATTGCAAGGTGTCCTCTTTTTGCCTCTTGTACTTGTGGTTATCATCCACTATCGTGGTTACGTGTTCGCTGCCGGGCGGCGGCGTCATTTTCTGGTCAAGGCTCATTGATGGCTGTGGCGTGACTATTGGTTGGAGGGAGACAAAGCGACGAGCCGAAAGCGGGTAGAGAGAAAGGCACTTGGGGGAGGGTGGTTCAAAAGGAGAGCCTTTGTCTGGAATGCACCTGATCTGAGCAAGCTGCCAATGGGTCTGGAATCTGAATGGCTTGGAGGCGTGGGAGGGTATGAGGGTACGAGGGTGGGAGGGATTGTCTTGTCTGAGACTGACTTTGAGCGCGTGTGAGACAAAAAAAGAGAGAGCGAAGTGGGTGGCGGCATTGCTTCGTCGAGCCATCGAAACCTACAGGCGTAGAGATGAGCACGAGGACACACAGACAAAGCCAGCGAGGGCCAGAAGAAAAATGGGTCACGCGCTAGTAGGAAATTGCGACGTGCTGCTTGTGTAGAGGGCGCTATGGTCTAAGTGGATTAGCTTATGCAGCTGCCTTCCAACCGTGGGCCACTCTCGCAGGCGCAGGCACCGTGGCAGTGGCTCCACTCCCTCGGATCTGATTTGCTCATGACTGGCCCTGCAGTTGCCGGCCGATTCCATTGACTTCGCTCGCCCAGTGGGTAACAAGACCAGCGTCATTTGTTGGGGCAGGTCCATGAGAGGGCAGCTTCCTCGCCGTTGCCCGTAGCTTGTAGGCCGTAGCCCTCTGTTCAAGGTTAGGCTGCGAGGGCGGTCCCTCAGAGTGGTGTGCCCACTGCTCGGTTGGCCCCAGAATGCACCATTCCCAGGGACCAGACACGGCCAAGCTGTCAGAGCCACCCGTCACCGCCAACTCGACCGCCTGCACCTCTTCTGCTTCATAACCATAACTCAGCCATCTTCGTCTCACTGTTTACCTTTGCCCCTACCACTCGACCTCCAGATCGACCACCCTGCAATGTGAAATCAAAAGCCCTCAC